CCCCCAAAGTTTGTATGCATGTCTGGCTGTGTTCCGTATAATACAAAAGTCAACTGTGAACAATAAATACTACAGTCGTCTTGTGTGATTTCCTGGTGCAACACTTTCAATAAAGCTGTTATCAACATGTAATCCAACGTCTTTCACGTCTACGTTCATTGTTTACAGTGTTTGCGCAGTATCCAATAATTTCCTAAATTCAGACAAGCCTATTACGCCACACCAGTGTTCCACTGTTAAAAGAAAAATGTCCTAAAAACACAAACTTCATCAAATCTCTTCTCCACTGTTTACAGTCAGATCCTTAACTTTACCAAGTTGTAAGACACCGCAGTTTGGATACGTTTCCCGGGAAAATTGTACGGTGTTCCACTGCCGTCAAAGAAACGCGGCCATGAGCCGATCCCATGTTTTTTCCGATTTTTAATTTTAATGTCCAGTATGAGAAGTCACATCCTCTTCGGAATAAAAAAAGAAAGAAAATAACTTCTGGGATGTCTTGCCACAGAAGCTACGCCAGTTTAATAGTGCAGTGAAAAAGAGAGGCGAAACGACAACCCTTTGGTGTGCCTCTTTGATGGTTTATCAGCAGACAACAGCAACCAATGACCACAGTCGGCGGGCCTTTTGATGGTTCACAGGAAGTGTTTACGTCCGATGATCACAGTAGCCAACCTGGATTTTTACAACAATTTATTATGTCAATCGTTCTAGGTGTTAAAAACTTTGCTGAATCCAATAAAATTGGGACATTTTATAGCAGTTTACCATTCGAAAATCCCAGAGCAATCTAGTAACATCGAGCCGATCTATACACAGCGAATACGAAGCGACCTTTCACCTGTTTACTTTATCAGCGTCTTTTATCTGCGTTGGCATGGCTACCCCCAGTAAAATGCAAACGTGGTGTGCTTGATTTGGACGCGAAGGTGTCAATTATAAATCGACTAGAACGTGGCGAAACCGCAAGCAATCTATCCACCGAGTATGGTGTTGGTAAAACGACGATATCCGATATCAAGGCAAAACAAAAGCTGCTGGATTTTTTCAGGAAGTGCAGGACTGAAACGAAAGATAACGAAAACAGCCTATGACGATCGTTCAGAGAAATCCGTCTTCACTTGGTTCCGGGACTTGATTTTCCCACAGTCACTCTACTAGTAGAGTGACTGTGGTTTTCTCAAGAAAGAAGCAAAGGAACTTTATTATCGCTACATTTTACGGACATTTTGAAACATTTTTTAACATTCCAGCATGCAACATTTTTATTACAATGTATTACTGATTAAATACTATACTATTTCATTACAGTCACGTGCGTTAGAATTTGTGTGTAGTGAGCCTGTAAACTTGAGCACGCCCACACAAGATCGCATATCGAACTGTTTGCATAACCGAACCAAAAGCATGTCTCCCTAACAGTCCGGATAATCGACATTCTACTGTACTATCTCTTCTCTTTTTTTACTGAAAATCACACTCTCTATTGGCAATTGGCATTTTTACTTTCGTTTATATATTTATATGTTGACCAAACATTATTAAATACATAATTCACAAACTTGTAATAATTGTAAACGGTTCAAAAATGTAGGTGCATTAATTGTTCTGTATTCGTCATGTTAAAGCTTCAGAATCGCTTACTGTAAATATATTAATTATTCACTTGGTTTTAATTTCGCTATTTTCACAGATAACTAAAATTTGCTAATTTAAATCAACCTGAAAATGTAAAATAACAATAAAACTCGTTGTTTTTCTGCCAAAATCGTGAATCTAAAGCCCAGGCTCAAAAATCGAAATAATGAAATTAAATAGTTTTTACTGTATATTATAAACATGTTTGTTTTAAAATAAAAAATGCAATTTCTGAGAAAAAGCATATGGCGATGACGTGCATTATACATAGCCTGCTGAAAGCCTTCACAGACATCAGTGGAAAAAAATATCGTTCATTAAAAGTGACATGTCAGAGATGAAAAGTGGGAATTCTACTGTATTGTTCTCTCTGGTTCAGTGGGTCGTCTTAACGTACATCACGTACGCTAAGCGCTATATACAGTTTAAGACACTGCTTGCTGCTTTATCTTTACAAATAAACTTTATTAATTATGCCTTTGCTTCTACTAGATGAGAGTTAATGTTCATACTCTTGATGCTGCTATATTATCTTTTTGTTTTAGGATGTGCCGTTTCAGAACACGCTCTCCTACTCATCAGATGTTGTGGATCCTTGATGGCTGAACTATCAGCACCGGAGAGAACAGAATTAGCCCACATGATATGGGACAAACTACCAGAATTAGGTACGAGACAACTCACATTTCGAATAATCTGTAAAACAGTAGTGCAGTTAATAATTCACTCACCTTATTAAGGGACGACGTCAAAAGATCGATGTCGGAATAAAAAAACTTACTTCCTTTAGTTTGGGGGTGGGGGGTTTTGACCTCAAAAAGTTTCCATCCTACAAAAACGATTTTATTTTTTAATGAAGTCAAAAAAATCTTGGAGTATTTGTAGTTCTTTTTTTTTCTATCCAATCATGGACAGAAATAACCGAAAAGGGGAAAAAAACAGAAAAATGGTTTGGTTCAAGTGTAAATCTGTGCGTCAAATGAGGTGCATTTGTAAAATCTTTTTACATCCACCCGACAACCAACTGCTATGCAATACTACTGTCGGATTATCAATTTGTATTTAATGGTGAATGTCGTCTGACGCCATGACCAATATATATCAATTAAGTTTCAGTAGGGGGGTTTGGAAAAAAACTAAAGGAATTAAGTTTTTTATCCGACATCGATCCTTTGACGTCGTCCCTAACCCAATATCGTCCAAGATGCATTGAAAGATGTGATCAATTGTTCTTCAAAATTAAAATATTTGTATTTTTCTCAATCAGGAATTAAACGTAATACAAACCATTACAATGCAATGTTAAAAGTCTACCTCCAGAATAATCATCAAATCTCCCTGAGTGAATTTCTAGAAAACATGGAATCCAGTGGTGTAGAACCAAACAGAGTAAGTATTATTCTTTGACTACTATATATGTATATTTTTAAAATTCTTATCTGATGCTGCAAGCAAATTGGACGCATTTGAAAGTGGAATATAATATGCTGTTTTCAGGAAAAAAATCTCAACTTCCTACAGTGCCATGCCATGTTTTTTATCATAAACACAATTTTCCAAACTCTATGGATGTTTCATGTGCCACTTATACAAGGTATTTATATTTCTTGG